TGGATAGGCAGATAGATAGACAGGTAGTTTAGAGATAAGGTAGGATATGGTACGGCAAGGTAAGATAAGATATAAGATAAAATAAGGTAAGATAAGGTGGTGTGGTGCTTTTCTCCAAAGGGAAGGCAGTGTGCTGCTTCGGCCCAAGACAAGATCGTGTGCCAAGGCTGGTTGGTGCAGCTGTCTTCCCAAGGCAAGATGGCGTGGGGGAGGTCGCGATAATGGGCGGAGGAGGGTGGTGATGGGAGGCGCTAGGTCATGAGTGGGGAGAAGGCGATGGACTGTGTGCGGTTGTGATGGGGAGAGGTGGGGTCCGGGTGGGTGGGTGGAATTTTAGATTGAGACGGGGGCGAGGGAAAGTGGCAATGGGGGGAGGTGAGGTGGTGCTTGCGAGGGGGAATGGTTAGAATGGCAGGGATGTCAGGTCCAAATAGCAGGGAGCTAAAGTAGGGGTTGGGCAAGGTCTCTCTCTCTCTCTCTCTCTCTCTCTCTCTCTCAGCAGCTGGCTTAGCCTGCCAGAAGACTACCGGCCTTCCCTCAAACACTATGCTGCGACAGTCTCTCTCTCTCTCTCTCTCTCTCAGCAGTTTTTTTTTTTCAAACAAACCAGTGTCCTTGGTAGGAGAGGTGGTACGAGCAGTCCTGGGTGCTCCGGTCTATTGGTGGGGAGCAGCACCTGCTGGAAAGCGGGTCCAATGTCCCACTATATCGGACTGATATGTACTTTTTTTTTACCTGCGTGCATTATGTTTGCAACGGATGTTGATCGAGAATGTATACATTCCGTCTTTCCAGCTTGGTACAGCCGGGATAAGGGTTTCGAGGAGCAGTTAACGGGCCCCGAAATTTTCAGGTTTTTCTCATGGTCTTTATAAGAAAACCCCAAATTCTTTCAAACGAAACCTGTCGCTGATCGATAGAGTGGACACCAAATAAACCCACTGTGAATTAAAAAACGTAAGAAAAAACGAAAGGAGCCAAATACCCTGAGGCAAAAACGACTTTTAAAGCAGAATTCTCCCATGACATTTGTTCAGGATTCTCACAAATTTTGAATTTTCGCAAATGCCAAAATAGCCATCTGCACGGCTCCAACAAGCACCAAACTTGGCACAGGCAGACATTGGCCAAAAACAAAACGGCAAAAAGAAGAATCCTGAAGTCAGTCCAAATGCCTTTTTTTCAGTGCTTGGGGGGTTAACCTATGGGCTGAAAAGGGGTTCCCTGTTGACCAATTGTGTTGTTGTGTTTGGGGGAAGACGGATGACTAGGAGGCGATTTTTAGCGGAAAAGGACTGTGCATTTATTTCTTTTTTTTTTGTTGGGTCTTTTCTGTGGGTCTATTCTAAAGAAGATTTCATCTCTTTACATCAATACAATGCCCTGGTGTTGTGGGCAATTATAATGCCCACCAGGCTTTATGAAACGGTTTTCACCTTTGCAGTGACAAATGCAAATCCCAGGGCTCGATCCCTAGACCTTACCTCACCCGTGTACAGTACCCCTGTGTGTTTTGAACCCGTGACCTGCGTTTTAGGAGTCAGCTGTTGGCTGTCGTAGGTCGGGGTAGTTGTCGGGTCTTGAACCTTAGGTCTGTCGAGTAGGGGTCAAAGTTGTGTAGAGGTTGTAGCTGTAGAGATTCTGAAAGGTCAAGGTCGTAGCTGCTACAGTCCTGAAGGGTCAAGGCTGTAGCTGCTACAGTTCGAAAGGCCAAGTCCACAGGCTTCCGGAAGGTCCGGAAGGTCACGGCAGACCAGAGGCAAGTGGTCAAGTGGTGAGTACACCCTTGCTTAGTCAGTGGTACCCAGTCCCAGTCCCACTTTGTCCAGTCAGCAAGTACCATGTGGGACTGTGTGCACCAAGGGCCCGGTGGAAAAAGGGGCCGACCAGTGACCAACAAAAGTAGAAATCAAGAGGCAGCGTCCAGCCATTCATTCATTCCTGCGTGAGCCATGCAGAAGCGCTGCCTTAGCAGCTTGTGCGAGGTGGTCTGCAGTTGCCCGAAGTCGAAGTGGGCTGAAGGAAGGAGATAGCGTCCAGTGTTAGTAGTAGAGAGCGGCCATAGCCGCTGTAGGTTAGAGATAGTGTGTCAGTGAATAGTTAGTGTGAGCGGAGTACAGCGTGAGTGCGTGTGGGATATTCAGGGTAATAGAAAGTTGGGTGTGTCTGAACAGAGGTGGTGGACACAGTGTTGGGAGAGAGTTGTTTGGGCGCTCAGGCGCCATTGCCTATTTGAAGCGAGTTTGCAACTGAACTGTGTTCTCGGTCTCCATATCTCTGAACTTTGTGTGGGCGCCTAGCGCCAAGTTGGATTCCCACCTGTGTGCATGCATGTGAAGAGCAGAGGAAAGCGAGTCTGATTGCATTGGTATCGAGCTGGTTCCCGTTATTCCCCGCACCATTGTCGTCAGCAGTGCGCCATAGTTGGGCGCCATATTAGAAGGAGCGCCATCGAGGGAGAGTGGTCTGCCATAGCTGCACCGCGGAAGAAGACATCGTGCACCTGCAAAAGACAACGACATGCACGCGCGCGCACGAGAGAGAGAGAGAGAGAGAGAGAGAGAGAGAGAGAGAGAGAGAGAGAGAGAGAGAGAGAGAGAGAGAGAGAGAGAGAGAGNGAGAGAGAGAGAGAGAGAGAGAGAGAGAGAGAGAGAGAGAGAGAGAGAGAGAGAGAGAGGAGTGATACAAGATTGTTGTGCCGTCCAAGGAAGAAGGTGGCGGCCATAGTCGTCGAGCTCGGATACGGACGAAGAAGAAAGCAGACGAGAGGAGGAGGGAGAGACAAAGGAGGAGAGAGAAGCCATAGCCGAGGAAGAGGAAGGAGGGACGGCGAAGGAGAAAGAAGCCATAGCCGGGGTGAAGTAAGAAAGAAGAAGAGAGGAGGAAGGAGGGAGGAGAAAAGAAGTGAAGGTTGGTGAGAAAGAAAAGGTCGGCTGCCATAGCAGAGTTGAGCGTTGACCAAGGCGCTGATTAGGGCGTTGATCGAAGTTGACCGAGGGTTGACTGCGACGTTGACCAAGAGTTAACCAGTGTTGACCAACGTTGACCGGAGCCATTGACCACGAGTTTGACCAAGCTGGAGTTGGTATATTCTCGCCAAGCCTTCAACCTATCCCCTCGCCTTGTGGATGTGCACTCACCCCATGGCACTTGCTGAGTCTGTCTGTCTCTTCTTTCTGCATCGAGTCTCTTTTGTCCAGGTGATAGGAACTCTATGTATGAGGTCGTAGAGTTGCGTTGACCAAACCCACACGGGCTGAGTAGGGCTTAAGTCCATGTATGACGACTGACTGACCCGGAGGACAAACCCTCCCAAGGACCGGTACAGACCGGCGGGCTGCTCAGTGTGGCATGGTAGGCCGAAGATCCGAGCTGTGGGTTGCACACCCAGCTGTCTAAGTGTTGAGAGGACTGGCTGATCGTGTCGTCCTGTTTGCGATGTTAAACAATTCTTGAGGAGTTATGGGGGATCTCCTTAAATGCCTCCTGATTAACGTTGAAGTCCTGTAGTGACAGCTTAGTGATAGGTCTAGGCTAGAGACCCTAGTTGATAGGGTTCTGAACCGGAGTGAAAGCCAGGTGGGATTGACCGCAGGTGCAGGGCATCTGGGTCTAGTTTGCAAAGGACAGTGGTGGCGAAAGCTTCCGTCGGTCGTGGTAACCTGGCTGGATCGAAGGGTAAGGCTCTGTGGTCCTTAGACAGTCAGTCAGTCAATCAGGGGGGAAGGTCTAAGTGGTGAGGAGTGGGACAGTCCTTGTCGTGCACCTGGGACCATGGATGACTACCCCATGTACGGCTTGCTCGTGGGGTTCTCCCTCTGGGGGACCCTCTGGCGTCTCCTTTTTCAGTTAGGATTCTGGAACACCTTTGCGTGTAGAGGTGAAACAAGGGGTGGTGTTAGTACCACTACATGAAAGAGCAGGAGGAGGAGGCAGCAAAGATCATGGCTGAGCAAAAAGCCAAAAAGGAGGAGTTGGTGAAGCAGGTTAAGAAATTGGCCTTATTGGAGGAGCAAACCGCAAAGAAGAAGAAACTGGAGGAGTTGGAGAAGTTGAAAAAAGAGGAAGAAGAAAAGTTAAAAGCAGTGGAAGCAGTAGAAGAAGAAGAAGAGAAACAGGTGGAATAAGAAGTGCCCCTGATAAGGAGTATCAGGGAAAGAGGAGAGTCGAGTGGCACAAAGGAGGACCCCTGGATAGAAAAGGAGGTCTCAGAATGGGTCGCCAATTTGTCCCTGGGTGAAGAGGAGGCGGCGATGTTATATGTCTCCAGGGCAGAATAGGAGGCGGCCATAAAGGAGTTGGAAGCCGAAGAAGACCCCCTCAAACGTTAGACGATGGAAGAGGAGAAGAAGTTAGAATGGAAGTTGCGTCTGACCAAGGAAAAGAAGCAAAGGTTGGAGGCGGCAAGTAAGACGGTAAAAGAATTGGAGGGGGTGGAACAGCAGAGGGTGCAGATGGAGGCGCAGGCGGATTGGTAGGGGAAGATGGAGATTATGACGAGGAATATTGAACTCCTGGCATAGGCTCAGGAAGAGCAGTTCCAATTCGCAAGAAGTCAAGATGTAGCTTTGCGATCAATACGATTGGGGTTTAAAGGGTTCGCACGAGAAATGATGATGCACATGGGCTCAAAGGTAAAGGCGAGGTTAGAAAATACAGAGCGATTCTGTACGGGCGCCATAGAAGGTGCGAAACTAGCTGCTCCAAGGGAGGAGGAAGTTCGTCCCCGTAGAGAGCCTGGTAAGGTGAAGTTCCCTGATTCCTACAGCGGGAGGAAGGAGAGAACTTCAATAACTTGGAGGCAAACGTGAACTCCTATGTACATCTTTAGAAGATAGCTCCTGAGGAACGTCCTCATCGTCTTCCATGCCCTTAAAGACGAAGCAGCTAGCTTCGCCAGGTCGCTTTGCCGTGCTGCTAAGTGCGAGAATGATATGGTCGCATATTCCCTGATCACCCCCTGAGTGACTTCTTTAAGTTATTGCGTGAGAGGTTTGCAGATGTCACTCGAAGTGTTAGAGCTTGTGACAAACTGCAGACTATCCATTCCTGTCAATGGAGTGCTAGAGCACTCAAGAGTGTTATGGATGAACTGATCGTTGTCCCTGTCCATGGGGTTACTGAGACCCAGTTGGTCAACTTGTTTTATCGTGCCATGCCTAAACCTTTGCGCGGGTACTTCTTTGAGAAGAGTAAGGAGTCTACCATAACCTACGATACTCCAAGTAGGGAAGTGGTAGCGGTTGAAGCGCAGTCCATGCCAGTTTCCACCTTCTGGCATAAGGACCTTGATAAGGGCAAGAAGTGGAAAGGTCATACCATCTCGGGTCAGGTTAAGGGCAATGAGGGTGGTATGGAGGAGGTCCCATATGGTCAGATAGAGTGGGGCCTAGAGAGAGAGGATAGTGGTGTTAGTCAGGGGAGGACTTAACGCTGCTGTCGCGGCTGGAGGGAGGCCGCAAGGAAGAGGGGGAGGCCAAGGCCAAGGGGGCCGGGCCTCTGGTGGTTGTGGTCGGGGCGATCAGGGGGTTGGCGGCAGAGGAGACCGCCAAGTGGGAGGTAGGGGTCAAGGTCCCTCGCAAAACCGTTCTTGTTACACTCGATCACCTCCCAGGAGGGGTGGATGGCACCTTGGCTTGCCACAAGGCAGGCCCTGGGAAGATCTGGGCCTAGAGCAAACAATTTGGCAGAAAAGGATAGACCAGGATCAGTGCATGTATTGGGGTGATCCGGGGCACATCATTAAATTCTGCCCCAAATACAGAGAGCCCCGGTATGTTGCATAGGCAGTGAAAGGCAACCGCCGGTAGGGGTTGCAACTGCCCTTACCTCTAGACCATGTGGAGAAGAGTGCGCGCTCCGTAGAGAAACTCCCAACCCACATGTGTCTATGGCAGAGGTTGCTGGCCAGTGCCTAGAAAGCTGTCTAGAGACTGCTTGTGTTAGAGTCTCTCTAGGCATTTCCCTCACAGGCTTGGTAGAGGAGCTAAAGGAGAGAATGCCGGCCTAGGCCAAGATGAAGAAAAACAATAAAGGACTAGTTTTAGTAGATGTAGAGATCTTTAGAGGCAGAGTAGGGGCCCTTATAGACAGTGGGGCCACCCGCAACTATATTAGTAGGAAAGCGCTGCAAAAGCTGAAGTTAAATTTGAAGGTCCAGAAGCTAGAAGACCCTATAGTCAGTATCCTCGCAGACAACCGCACCTCGCTTAGAGACAGATGGGAAGGTGGACAAAATCCACCATTCCCTGACTCTCCTCGTAGAGACAGCCTCCCTTTCGACATGGTCCTTGGAATGGACTAGGGAGAGCCAGCAGGGGCCACACTCCATTTAAGAGAGCACGAGTGTAGGCTCCCTAGTCCAACGGACGAAGCTAAGACTGCTCGCCTGTTTTATGTGTCGGGGGTAGATAACCCTTTGGCGCATTGCTGTCTCAGTGCTTCCTCATTCACGCGATTGGTAAAGAAGGAGCAATTAGAGGAGCAGGTTTTTGTAGCCTATGTCAGGCCTGTTACTGAGCCTAAGGAGGAACAACTCATCGCTTCAGTCATTGCCAAGCTGCTGGAGGAGTATACAAATTTAGCCAAGCCGCGTACAGGAGTAATGCAGCGGCCTATCCAACATTGAATTGAGATAGAGCCTGACAGTAAGACTTCTAAGAGAGCCATCTACATAATGTCTCCAAGAGAGCTAGAGGAGCTGCGCAAGCAATTGGATGAGCTCCTTGAGAAGGGCTGGATTATGCCTAGTTCGTCTCCATTTGGAGCACCTGTTCTTTTTATCCCAAAAAAGGAGGGAGAGCTTCGTATGTGCATTGACTATAGGGGTCTTAAAGTCATCACAATGAAAAATGCAGAACCACTACCCCTTATAGATGATCTACTAGATCGGGTGCAGGGCTGCAAATACTTCTCAAAGATAGACTTGAAGTCAGACTATCATCAAATAGAGGTCCATCCTGATAATCAGCACAAGACGACGTTTAGGACTAGATGGGCACTCCACAGGTAGTGCCCAGTGTTGACACACATTTTTTGAATGGTTTTGAAGTTTTCCTTTTTTCAAAAAAAAAAAAAAAAAAAAAAAAAAGGACTAGATGGGCACTATGAGTTTGTAGTAATGCCCTTTGGACTAACCAATGCCCCAACTACCTTTCAGCGTTGTATGAATGATTTGTTTAGGCCTTGGTTAGATAGATTCATAGTAGTCTACTTGGATGATATCCTAGTTTTTAGTAAGACCCTTCAGGAGCATGAGGGTCATCTGAGGCAGGTCTTGGAGAAGCTGAGAGAAGCTAACTTCAAGATCAATGCAAAGAAGTGCGAGTGGGCCAAGACACAAGTCTTGTACTTGGGCCACGTCTTAGATGGAGATGGCATAAAACCTGAGGACAACAAGATAGTAGCGATCAGAGATTGGCCAACGCCCGGCACATTGACAAAATTGCGGTCGTTCCTAGGCCCAACGAACTATTGTAGAAAGTTTGCGAGGAACTTCTCCACTATTGCTGCACCCCTTCGCAGGTTGTTAAAGAAAGAAGCAGTTTGGGAATGGGATAGAGACTGTACTTCGGCCCTGAAGAAGTTAAAGCGGCCTTGATAGAGTATCCAGTCCTCAAGGTAGCCGATCCGTCATTACCTTTTGTCGTCACCACTGACGCAAGTCAATATGGTATAGGTGCTGTTTTACAGCAGGATGATGGCAATGGGTATAGGCCCATAGAGTTCATGTCCGCTAGGATGCCTTCAGAGGAGGTAGCGACATCTACCTACAAGAGGGAACTCTACACTCTCAGGCAAGCATTAGATCACTAGAAGCATTATCTGCTTGGGAGGCACTTCAAGGTGTATTCAGACCACGAGACGGTGAGGTGGTTGAAGATGCAGGCCAATATGACACCTAAGCTTACTAGGTGGGCCGCTGAGATATATCAGTTCGACTTTGAGCTCAAGCCAGTGAAAGGAAAGTATAACGTAGTTGCGAACGCTCTGAGTAGGAGGGCTGATTACTTTGGAGCGATGGTTCACTATCTTGATATAGGGAGAGACCTGCAACAGAAAATTAAGGAAGCGTATGCGCAGGACCCTATTTATAGTGATCTCCTCGAAAGAGTTAAGGAGGCTCCAAAGACTGAACTAGATTACCGCACTACAGACGACTTACTGTTCGAGAAGACTAATGTAGTTGACCACTTATGCATTCCCAATAGTGAAGAGATCCGTAGTTTGATCTTAGGGGAATGCCACGACATAGAGGGACATTTTGGTTGGCAAAAAACGTTAGCCAACCTTATACGAACGTATACGTGGCCAGGTATGAAGGTCGACTGCATAGAGTATGTACGCAGTTGTAAAGTCTGTCAGAGGAATAAGACGACTACGCGAGCCCCTCTAGGTCTTCTCAGACCCTTGCCTATTCCCGACGGACCCGAAGACTTTGTGTCCACTGACTTCATGGACGCTGGAGTCAGGAGTGGGCATGGCAAGAGCCAAGTCATGGTTATAGTGGATAGATTTAGCAAATACGCAGTTTTTGTTCCTTTGCCCTCAGAGGCACGCACGGATCTAGTAATAAGTTTTTCGGCCATTGGGTCAGTGACCATGGGTTACCACTATCTATAGTTAGCGATAGAGATACCCGGTTCACTAGTCAGAACTGGCAGGAACTGATGAAAGTCTACGGATCTAAGTTGTTAATGTCATCTGGCCGGTATCCAGAGACCAACGGTCAGACTGAACAGATGAACGAAGTCCTGCAGCAGGTTCTGAGAATGTACATTAGACCCGACCAAATTAACTGGGATGAGATGCTCCCTAAGGTAGCCAACGCGTATAATAACAACATACACTTAGCTACCTGTCGCACTCCCAATGAATTGGATAAGCTCTTTAGACCTCGTAGACTGTTCTAGGGACTCAACTGGGATCAGATTCAGAGGTTGCTGCCGAGAACTAGGGAGTTTGCGATACAACATGAAAAAGAGATTGCTACTGTAGTAGAGAACCTCAGGAAGGCCCAACATAGAATGATAGAGCAAGCCAATAAGCACCGTCGCCCATCACAGTTCCAAGTACGTGACTTAGTCTGGGTTAAGTCAAAGGAGTTTGCTCCTGAGGAAAACATCTCGCAGAAGTTATTGCCTGCATACCGAGGCCCGTGGCCAGTCTTCGAAGTTAAGGGCGGGGAGGATGGACCGTCCTACACCGTCGAGATTCCAGCACACCTCCACACCTACCCGGTGTTTCATGCGTCACAGTTGTTGCCTTGTACCACAAGTCGACAGTTTCCATCACAGAGGTCCATGATCCCTCCGGACATGGATAGAAGGTACGACATTGACGACATCAGGTGAAGATATCTTCAGAACAGGAGGTGTACAGTGGCAAAAAGTCAAAAACCAACTTGATCTGTTTCAGACACCCAAAGACATAAAACAAGCAATTCAGCGATTTTCGGGGGACTGGTTGGGCAGTGAGAAAGGGGGCTGGATCGCCTTCGTCTGATGGGACGGTGCACCCACTCAGGAATGCAACCACAACGAGTTCAGGAGAGACTATCTTATCTGCTTCAGAGACTGGACTACGGTGGGACAGGAGATCCCGCTGAGACCATCCACTGATTTTCCCGACCCATTCCCGCCCCACCAGCTGGCAATGGTTGACATGCAATTGTATGGTGCAGGGTGACCAAGGCCCCGGACAACAGTACATGGAAGGCATTGGCGGAAGTAGCCGCTAGGGAAACAGGCGGCATCTGGCAGTCTGAGGCAGACTGAAGAGGCGGTGGTCTGATGCTGATTGAAGAGGCAGTGGTATGAAGAACTGTCAAATTGATGAACATACGAAGCGCCTCAGTCAAAAACCATCCACAGAGTTAGCAGATATAGTCAGAGATAGGGGGAGAGGGGGGAACTGGTGTGCAGCAGCAGGCATTTGGCGCCAGGTTCAGGGCGAAGAGGTCCCCCCCCCTGTGTTTTTGGCCTGCTCAGTCAATCCCCTGGATTCCACGGACTCCAGCGTAATCAATGCTGGCAGGCTCCCACAGCATGCTTCGGATACACTGCGGTTGTTCTCTAATTCTCAATCTGTACATGGGACGCTGGACCCGTTTTCCAGCAGGCGATGCTCCCCACCAATAGATGGAGCCTCTCCCCAGGTGCTAGTGATGTCTGCTCTTACCAGCACCACTAACACCTGGSGGGGAAGTTTTTCCAAAAAAAAAAAAAAAAAAAAAAAAAAAAAAAAAAAGAGGTCGTCCACAGAAACAGTATAAGGTCAGGTTCGCTTTTCAGGAACCAGAGGACGACCGCTGGTTTACTTGAACAGAACTTCTTGAGACCGCTCCCGATGTAGTTCGAGCCTATGAGAGAGATAAGAAAGGTAAAGGTCCAGCCTTGGACTGAACTATTCTCGGAGGACCTCGAATTTAGGCCGGGGGAGTGAAACGATTTTCACCTTTGCAGTGACAGATGCAGATCCCAGGGCTCGATCCCTAGACCTTACCTCACCCGTGTACAGTACCCATGTGTGTTTTGAACCTGTGACCTGCGTTTTAGGAGTCAGCTGTTGGCTGTCGTAGGTCGGAGTAGTTGTCGGGTCTTGAACCTTAGGTCTGTCGAGTAGGGGTCAAAGTTGTGTAGAGGTCGTAGCTGTAGCGATTCTGAAAGGTCAAGGTCGTAGCTGCTACAGTCCTGAAGGGTCAAGGTCGTAGCTGCTACAGTTTCGAAAGGCCAAGTCCACAGGCTTCCGGAACGTCTGGAAGTGGCCTTTCGAACGTTGTTCACAGCAGATCAGAGGCAAGTGGGCAAGTGGTGAGTCCACCCTTGCTTAGTCAGTGGTACCCAATCCCAGTCTCACTTAGTCCAGTCAGCAAGTACCATGTGGGACTGTGTGCACCAAGGGCCCGGTGGAAAAGGGGCAGACCAGTGACCAACAGAAGTTTAAATCAAGAGGCAGCGTCCAGCCATTCATTCATTCCTGTGTGAGGCATGCGGAAGCGCTGCCTTAGCAGCTTGTGCGAGGTGGTCTGCAGTTGCCCGAAGTCGAAGTGGGCTGAAGGAAGGAGATAGCGTCCAGTGTTAGTAGTAGAGAGCGGCCATAGCAGCTGTAGGTTAGAGATAGTGCGTCAGTGTGTAAGTTAGTGTGAGCGGAGTACAGCGTGAGTGCGTGCGGGATATTCAGGGTGATCCAGAGTTGGGTGTGTGTGAACAGAGGTGGTGGTCCTGGTGGACACAGTATCGGGAGAGAGTTGTTTGGGCGCTCAGGCGCCATAGCCTATTTGAAGCGAGTTTGCAACTGAACTGTGTTCTCGGTCTCCATATCTCTGAACTTTGTGTGGGCGCCTGGCGCCATGTTGGATTCCCACCTGTTTGCATTGATGTGAAGAGTAGAGGAAAGCGAGTTTGATTGCATGTATGTTTGCCTTTTTTTTTTTTTTCCCAATTATGGCCAGATGTTATTATTGGGTTGGGACGGTAGGGAGAAAGAGAACAACAGGGACAAAGGCAGAGATAGAGAGGGGGAGGGGAAGAGTGCGCGAGCGCGGCAGACAGAGAGAGAGAGAGAGAGAGAGAGAGAGAGAGAGAGAGAGAGAGAGAGAGAGAGAGAGAGAGAGAGAGAGAGAGAGAGAGAGAGAGAAGCACCAGGGCATTACGTATGTGGCGAATGACATCGTGCATCACGAGATATCGTGTGAGGGGAGAGTAGTGTTACCAGCAGTGGTAGATAGGATGGTAATTTAATGATCTGGTGCTTAGGGAGAAGAGTAGCCTAGAGTGAGAAGTGGAAAAAGCGAGACAAACCTCATAACTAGTGATTATTATTCGTCTCTTCCAACTTTTCTCTGTCTGGTTGCAGAACATCATTGGTATCTCTTTATGAGTCCTCATTCATTGAACTTCGCAAGTAGTTGCATGATGAGGATGGTGTGGGCTTCAGGAGTCGGGTTCATTCCATTTTTCTTATTTTTTTAATAATTTTTTCCTCCTTAAATCATCCGAATGAACCCCTTGTTTTCTTTTGAAACTATGGCTGCAGGTGCATCCGTTAATATGAAACTTATAATGAATGTGCTTCCCCTCCCATCTTCTGTTCTCGTGACAGGACAATAATGACCACCAGGACAGTGACTTGCTGTATTTTGCAAAATTTGCGGGTATTTGCTTTGTGGCGGCAGCTACAATCAAATATGGAAGTGTGGCTCTTCCTTCACTTGCAAAACCCAATCTTCTTTCAGCGCTGATCATGGTAATGGTCCCCATGGGCGTGAGTGCAATCGCACTGGTGTCAGCCAGCGCAGAAGAGAAAGGAGATCGTCAAATGTGACTGCGACTGATCGGAGTAGCTGGATTGGCGATCGGAAATTCCTTTCTTCCGTCAAACATTGCTTAACCCCCACTTTGTGTGTTTCTTAAACTTTCTTTTGTCATGCCTGTTCTCCACTTTCCGGAGGTGCTTCCCTCCTCCTCTTCCCACCCTCCCTCACTCCTTGTTCGCTGTCCGTCTCCATGCAGCACTGATGGTAGCTATATACCGTCGGCATGCTCTGAGACCCCACTTTCAACTCCAGTGAATGTAGCCTCGCTTCAGATCCCCATGCAACTTGGCAATAATTAAATTGTGGTCTTTTGACTCTTTTCCTAGGAAGATTTTCATGCCCGGACGGGCACCCGGGCGTGACGCCCGGGGTACCCGGGTGTGCAAAAAAAAAAAAAAAAAAAAAAAAAAAGATAAAAAAAAAAAAAAACTCCCAGAGAACCCCAAATCCGAACTCTATTCATTTTTTGAGAGTCGGCTGTCAAGGGGGGGGAAGGGGGGTATAAATTTGTTTTCTAGGAAAATTTTCATGCCCGGCCGGGGACAAGGGCTCACCCGGGAGTGGGTTAAAAAAAAAAAAAAAAAAAAAAAAGAAAAAAAAAAAAGAAGAAGAAGAAAAAACAATTGCCTTTGTGCGCTCTCCCAGAGGGCCCCAAATCCGGGTTCTTTTCATATTTTGAGAGTTGGCGTTCAAGTTTCAAGGGGGGGGGAAGGGGGGTATAAATTTGTTTTAAAGGGGCTAAGGGGGCTTAAAGGGGGTTGCCTTAGTGTGATTTTGTTATTTTCATTTTTATCTCCGATTTGGTGAGGAATTCTGATGTGACCGTCAGCCAAAAGTTGTTTGTATTGCAATTCTCTTTTTTTTTTTTT